AAGAGTGAAGCAGTTACCTCAGGCAGCAAATGCGGGGAGGAGGCAGAAGGTCTTGGAAGGTCTTCTCCAGACCATGCGAGTTAGTCTGCTTCTTCAGTTGCACTGGGAGACACTGCCTCATCCTCAGTGTTGAAGGCAGAGCCATCTACCACTCCAGTTGACTCTTTGGTCTCACCCTCTCCTGCCTTCAGCCACACATATTGCTAGGATGTGACTCCCAAAATCTTACTAGAAATTGAATTTGACCCCGGGCTAAGAGACTCCTGTTATCAATTTAACCAATGAATAATGAATGGATCCTGAAGTGCATTGAGAGGTAATTGAGATGACAGTGATTTAAAGGAGTTATTCCATGGGTCTTGAGAATTCCCAAAGCAAGAGTCATGAAGCTGCTCTCGAGGTGGAATGAGTTCGGTGCTTCCAACAGCATCAAGGAATTGTGGCCTGCTGGCCTCCAGAGTGATGGTGAGGGAGGTCGTGTGGTTTCGGCAAAGCTATTGGTCCCCGTGCAGCATCATGCAAGCAAAGTTCTGCTCATACTATAGGGCTTCCCTTTCCTCTCTTTTCCCCTGTAGCCCCATGAACATCCAAACCTCTGGAGCGGTTTTCAGAAATGTCTGGGGCAGTGGAGGGCAGTGGATGCAGTACATTTTAACAAACCTTAGAATATGATCCCCAATGGAAACTGGAACTCTCATCTGTACTTTGAAAATTTAAACAGGAACCTATAATGTAAATCAGTTCAGCATTGTCCCATGATAGTGACACAAGCCCATATGCATCAGTGGAATAAATTTAATATCTTCTATTGTTAGAGAACCTTTAACATTACAAAAGGAGAAGAAAGTTGCACAGCGATTAGCATTTTAAATGGTTTATCTCACCCTGAGATTTGACTTAGTCTTTGTTGGCTTTTCTGATTAACACGCTATGTAATGACTTTCAAGAAAAAAGATTGTTCTGATTTGACTGGTGCATGAAATATAATAACGTGAGTTCATTCTCAGGGTGAGAAGAACAGATTTTTTTCCCTTTTTCCAAAGGATTTTTAAAAAATGAAGATGACAAATCCAGTTTGCAATAAAACAAATACTGTGGGGTAATAATGCAGCCCGCCATTGCTCAGGGCAGGTGATGTGGAAGGTCTAACTGGGGTTTTAGGAAGGGCTCCCTCAGGCTGGTTATTCCCAGATGTTTTCTGCCATAATTGCTCATTATTGAGGAGCTGCAGATATGACATATACTGTGCAACTTATGTGTAATAACATTCTCTTGACACCTGGGCTTGAGAATCCCTTTTGTTCCTGTTCTTGGCACAGCCTGAAAGCAGCCAAGAATGCTGTTAAGTTTCTGAAACAGCTCCACAGGCATCGAATCTACAGAATACATGCCTCTTCTTTGATTCATTTTTTAAAAGGTTGTTTCTTCCAAGCAGGAAATGCATTCAAACACCTGCCTGTTTGCCCTGCCAGCACCGGGCTGACCAACATACCTGGATGTCGTTTGCATTGGTTAATCTAAAGCCATAGCTCCTGGTAAGACCAAACTTTCCAGGCAGTTCAAGCACGACTTGAGTATCCCTTACGGACCCTGTTTTGTTCTAAAGGCTCTGTGATGCTACTCTTAATAGTGAGCAAGATGAGAGTTAATCATAGTCCTCATCACAGTAACGCTATATTTGTAATGAAAAGTGGTTTAGTGTTACAGAGTGTTTGGTTTGCATAGTGAAATGGGCTATTTAGAATGTTTCAGATGAGTCTTTGCCAGGACAATTGTACTGCCTCGTTCCTGGAATATTGCAGGAGATAAAGACAATGTCTTTTTCCATTCTTTCTCCTCCCTTGTTTTCTCATGCCCTGTTCTTTCTTCTTCCGTTCAACAAGGAAACACCTGCTATAGAAGACAACATTACTGCAGAATGGCCTTTGACATTCAAAGAGCTTTCCATTTCAAACAACCCATAAATAGTGCTATTACTCTCCAAGAACCCTGAAGTAAGATTTATTTTATATTGTTAATTTGTTGTATGTATTATATTTTAATTTTATGTTGTGAGCCGCCCCGAGGCTTCGGCGAATGGGGCGGCATAGAAATGTTTAAATAAATAAATAAATAAATAAATAAATAAAATTTATATAGCTTCATTTGACTTCTGAGCGATTGCAGATCTGCGTCTCACCATGGTAGAACCCTGAAGTACCACAAAACCTCCAGGTTTCCAATGGGAACGTAGCACTTTGTGCCATTTGCTGGGAGGAAATCCATAGGAAACCAGGTTTGCCTCCTCCCTCCCAATCCATTTTCCTTTTATGTCATGACATTTAGAAGGCAGGCACTGCCTCACTTATCATCATCATCATCATCATCATCCATTTATAACCTGCCTTTCTTCTTGCAAGGAACCCAAAGCTGGAGAGCAAGATAAAAGTTCTGCAGATAATAAGCAAAGACCCCATGACAGGTGTCTCTTGCCTCCCTTATGTGCAATGTGGTGCTTTTTAACTGGTGGCCACTGTTTCATCGTTTTTTCCCACACCCCAGCCAACAAAGCATCTTTCACCTGCCCCAATCCCATCAGAGGGCTGCAGGCAAGCAAATAAGAAGGATCCCTTTATTGCTGAATCTCCCATAGAAGAGGAGATCCCAGCAAGTGCAGTCTGTCATGTTGTGATGCTGCGAGAGAGAAAAGGAGCAGGTTTCTTTTATTAAAGCAAACAATTCCAAAAGTCTCCTGTTGAAGTTGACTGTCTTAAGAGTGCGTACCAGAAGACTTGAAGTCGGGCTACAAGCTTAGCAGGAACAGAGTGTTTGCTTGGCTTTCTTCAAGGACCGCATATCCTGCTGAAGGTCGTATGGATGGAGTGCTCTGTGTTAACAAGGTTCCCAGCAGGTTGCCTCCGGGTTGTAGTGGAGGCAGCACTCACCCGGTTGATGCACTGGGACTTTCTGATGAGCAGGATCTGCCACCCCTGCCCAAGGCCCCCATCCCACTGGGGTTTGCTGAAAGCTCTGTTGCATGACAGAGAGGCATGGCACAAGAATCCCAAACCCATCCCACCCCTTGCGAGATTCCCTGAAGTTTTCCTCTCTTTTGCATGCCTTTCGGAAAGCCGTTCCTGTGCTGCCAAATTGAATGACACTGGTTGAGAAAAAGGGTGGAAGGGGTTTTTTTAGTGCGGCATCAAAATAAACCAATTCAAGTGCATGCTCAGTTTCAGGGCAGCAGACCTGGTTAGGATTTGTCAGGGCAGAAGAGAAATAAGTGACAAGAGACAGGTAGGTGAAGTCTGGGAAGGCTAAAGACTGGGGGGTGGGGGTGTATTTTGCCAGGAAGCAGCTCTCCAGGGCAGGAGTCTCCAACATGGCTGGGGATCTCAAACACCACCACTGCCCCCTTCAAAAATGTGTATTTAGCGTCATGTTCTCTTTCATGTTCCTGAAATTTCTGCACAGGGGGCAGGACGAGATGGAGGCAGTCCCTGCCTATCCCCACCTAGTCTTCCATCCACACAGACCTTTCCCCTTTGCTCTCTCTCTCATCATCCCATTTTTGCCTCCTCACTCTGCCACTTTCCTTCCTCTTCCTCTCCCTTCCCAGCTCCCAGCCTTGCTCTTTCTCTCCCTCTTGCCGCTTCCTCTTCCTCTCCCTTCCCAGCTCCCAGCCTTGCTCTTTCTCTCCCTCTTGCTGCTTTCTCTTCTTCTCCCTTCTCAACCACAGCCTTGCTCCTTCTCTCCCTCTTGCTGCTTTCTCTTCCTTCCCAACCACAGGCTTGCTCTTCTCTCCCTCTTGCCGCTTTCTCTTCCTCTCCCTTCCCAACCGCAGCCTTGCTCTTTCTCTCCCACTTGCCCCTTTATCTTGCTGCTTATCCCCATGCCCATCCTCTAGCTTTTCCCTCCCCTTCTACCTCAGTGTTTCCCACCCCACCTCCCCTTCCCCCTGAGACTCAGCCTCAGCATGTCTCTCCCTCCACCTCTGTTGACTCCACAGCAGCCATTTTGTGCCTAACCACAGCTCCCATCAACTTCTAGAGTTCGCCCAAACTCACACATGCCCCAAGCCCTGCCGAGGCCTTTGCCTTTACCTCCTGCAGTTTTTTTAACTGAAGGTAAAAGGGACGTTGTTGTGCCACATGGATTAATTGCTCTTCGCTGTGGACCAGGGGTGTTGAACATGATCCCAGGGACCAAGTCCAGTCCAACCGTGACTCCAGTACACTGTACCCCCTTCTCCTTCCACTAACAGCTGCGTCTTCACCTCTTGCCACACTCCCTGAGCTACCCACCAGCAACCCGAATCCATTCTTGTCTCCCCACTCCCACTGGCCAGTCACTGGTCTCTGGCAACCGACTCAGCTCAGTCCTCATGTGGAGTGTTTGTGTGGGGGGGTTGGTCCCCTCAACCCCCCTCCCCAAAGATGGCTTCTTGGTGACCTAAAGATTGCTGGACTTTTGCAAACTGGGGGGGCTAACCTTGATACAAGCTGACCAGGGTGGGTTTCACTAACGGGCCCATTTGATGCTGCAAAGATGAGGAGCTCACTTGTTTGTCTTTTTCACAGTTTTAATTTAAGAAAAAAGAAGACGACAAACCCAAACACCTGTGGCACTTACACAGTCCAGCTTCGTGTGACATAGGTGTGTGAGGTTTATTTTGATTTGAGCAGAGGAATTTCACAAGCACATCGACCACAGGAGCATCCCCATGTCCGACCCACCTGCACATCCTCCCCTAAACCCAGCAGGTGACAAACCCATGAAAAGTCACGTACATAAAACACGCGCGCACACAACAAGGCACTGTGAAGAATAAACATGTAGTCGGTGACCAGAGCGGTTCTGTGGAAAGCCGCGTTCTTACATGATTTGCCCAAGAGGCAGCCTCACGAAAACGAAGAGAACTCGTACGAAGAATGTGGAATCTGGGACCGTGTACGTGGTGGGGATGTAGGAAACGAGGAGGGTCTCCTAACGAGGACTGTAGCCATTGCGTTCTTGCGACATTAAAGCTGTAGGTAGATTGGAGGTTCTATGTCTCTTTTGCCAAAGGAGTTGGATCCTACGTTGGTTGGCGTATAGTTACCACCGAGAACGTTCTTGGCCTTGACGACCAAGTCAACCAAGCGGTGTATCACACACGTAGCAGTGTTGCATCTCCGCTTCTCCAAGCGATGGCTGGTGATGTCGAAGCAAAGGGGGGAAAAACATCGCCGTAAGAACCTTGCCACAAGCACCCGTCAACACAATGGTCTGCTGTCACTAAGTTGTTTTCACTATATTTCATTGCACACTTAGGGACAAAATGTGAGTGCACCTTTATTTTTGCAATCCTTTTGGCTGGGAAATAGGGTAGAACCTGATTTATGCTGGATTTCTTTTACATTCTTGGCCACTGTGGTGCAGTGGTTCAGAGCGTGGGACTGGGACTCAGGCGATCTGGGTTCTAGTCCCCGCTCAGCCATGGAGCCAACTGGGTGACTTTGGGCCAGTCACAGACTCTCAGCCCAACCCACCTCACAGGGTTGTTGTTGTGGGGATAAGATGGAGGAGGAGAATGATGTAAGCTGCCTTGAGCCCTTTGTAGGGAAAAGGCAGGATATAAATCAAAAAATAAAATAAAATAAAATAAAATAAATAAATGTAAACATATTGCAGTACACAGTCTATCTATTATATGTATGGTTTCATATGTATGTATATACTTCTTTTCTATACAAATCTATGCAAAGTGTACAGCAAAATCACATGTAAAAATGGATTTTGCTATGCAGCTCTGCCTGTATAGAAAAGTGGCATACAGATAAATACTAAACCCACACATGCAATGGTTCACATGCAAAGGTCTGTGAACTGAGTGTCTGTATCAACCACTGAAAAAGTAAATTCCAAATTACAGAATATTGTTATGATTATGATTGAATTGCATGTATATCCCACCTTTCTACCTGTTTGTAGGAGCCCAAGGGAGCTGTTATTTTAACCTCCATTTTAATACTAACAACAACCCTGTAAGGTAGGTCAGGCTGAGTGGGAGGGTCAGCACTCCAGTCCAACACTCTCACCACCACGCTGCACCTTGTAAAACAATTTGAAATCGAAATAGCCAACATCACAATGCTTTGTCACACATCCATGGTAAGGTTTCATTTGAAAAAAAGACTTTACACATTTGATCTTTGAGCAGCAACAATAAAAGGAATTTCTGGACAGTTGTGGGGGATGGAAAAGCAGGGGGTGAAGAAATGGAGCAGAACAACTCCAAAAAGAGGCTTGGTTGGAACACTGGATGAGAGCACACCATGCATATTGGGTGCTACCAAAATGTTATAATTTTTGCTGCAGGTGCCACTTTCCCCCAGAAACTTCTCAATTTTTTTATTTAGCTATTATACTTCTACAAGCCCAACAGCAAATGCTTTCTGGGAAGCTGTAACATCTTTGGCCTGTTATATTAGAAAGGTACACAAAATCCAAAAATAGTGGTTCTCTTTCCAAATGGATCAAGACTGTATAGAACACCTGGATTTGAAGGATTTCTGGAAGGTTCCCCCTACCCCCAATTTGGGGTGTGAGTGTAGGCTGGATTACTTTTTCCTTCGTCCCTCCTTGATATACATCCAATGGTACTCACATACCTATTATCTTAAATGCTTGCACAACTGAGGATCTGCAGATGGAGGCATAAGTACAAATTCACTAAGCAAGTGTTCCTATGGCCCCTCGACATCATCTGGAGAAGGCAAAGGATTCTTTGGATCCCCAGATGTGAGGCTGAAGACAGAGCTCCAACCTCAGTGCTGGGTGTCTGTGCACAGATCTCCCTTCCTGTTTCTTCTGCAGCTGCCTCTCCAAGACTGGAACTTGACCTTGGAAAGGGGGTGAAGAGGCAATTCATGATCCAGGAGACGGAGAAGATGGAGGTCACCCGGATATGAAGTTTTCCATCCTCCTTCCTTCTTCCTCCATAGGTTTCTGCCCTAAATCACCCTGGGCTGGTATTCAGAAGATGTCTTCTATGCATGGGTAATTTGACTCCCACTTCCTGCTTGAACATTGTCCAAGATGTTCTTTTGTGTGTGCAAGCCACTGAGAATTGCAAACTGCTAATGAACCTACCTACTAAAGCACCGTGCAATTCTTCTGATAGTGTTTGCACAAGCATTTGCTGAACACTATTAGCAGCCATTCCCTTCTGCTCACAGTTCTCTGCACAGAGACCCTGTTGTTGAGATTCCCATGGCCGAGTTCGTAATGCAGGCAATTGGAAAGGTTCGTTTATTAACCACAATCATCTCTGTGGGACTCTCCAACAGACATTTTGTAGCACGTTACTTTGCTTTCAGAAATGCTGCCAGACTAACACATGACTGATTATTAGCTAAGTCTTAAAAGGGTTAGATTTCGATCTGAGCAAGGTGAGAGTAGAATGACACAATCTGGAATCTAGAAAAGATTGGTCCGTCAGCTGGGAAAACAACAAGATTATACAACAAAGCCTCCATTAGAGACCAAGGAAGAATCGCTCAGAATGAAACAATTTATAAGTACAGTCCAAGCTGGGAAGATTTTTATTCAGAAGTATATGAGCCTAATATCTGTTCAATCCAGACAGGTATGAACGTGCAGAGTGCATCTTTCCAAATTACCTCTCTTTTCTATTAAGATCACCGATGGAACAATCTTCAAGAGAAGATTGTCTCTGGTGGAACTATGTTAAAAAAAACTCTTCTAACAATAGAAGCAGCACAACGATAAGAGGCCTCGGGACCTCAGGACTTGATGGCATTTCGTCAGACGGAAGCCTTTCTTGGAAGCCTTCTTGTGGCTTTTCTTCCCAAGCTGAATAAGGTGCTGAAAAGGTTAACAAAGTGCAAGCTGCATCTGCGAAGCCAATATAAAGCCCCTGGTACTTATTAACGCATTTAACACATCCTGTCTAGTTCCAGGCTAGGTGAATCCCATGAATGATTGCAGATGGTCACGGTTTCTTTACATATAGACGCCTGAAAAGGTTCTTCAAGACATCTACCCCAAAATGAAAATTCAGCTCAGGAAGGACTGTGTCAGGCTATACTTTTAATTTTTTTTTTTATAAAAACAAATATACAAAGTAAAGCCATAATGAATTTAATCTACACCATCCTTTAAGGGGGGCAGATTATATAAGAGTGCAATCCTGGATCTCTCCAAACTCAGAGGATGATTGGCAGCCTATGCAGGGTAGAGGGAGGAAGAGGTAGCCTCCCCCCCCCCCCCCCCCAAACTCATCTCCAGGATCTCTTGGAGCTGACACTCCAACTACACATTTGCAGCTCATTCGCAACCTCCTAACCGGATCTCCAAAAAATCCTATGGCCATCTAGACAGCATCTAATGGTTGTAAGGCTGCCCTGTAACACCCTTTGCCCATTTAGTTTTGGTTTAGACCAGACGGAAGGTGTTGTTTAGCCATCTTGAGCAATGCTGAAAAGTCTCTGCATTAAATTGATTGATCTTAGCACTGCAGTATATTAGAAAAATTCCTTTCTTGGGAATGTTATTACATTGATGTGGTTTATTCTGCTAAGTAATCGTCAATTCATTTGCTTCAGATCCGGTTTACTTAGAACGAGGCAATTTTGCCTGGAATGGGGTGCTAGGCAGTGGGGTTCTCACATCCCCTCATCTCAGGGGATCTTGAACACCCCCTGCTGAACACTTGTTGAACACCCTGGAGTAACCAATGTGGTACCCTGAGTGAAAATGTGCTCATAGACACATCCTTTGGTGTCTGATTGGCCCCCTGCTCCTTCTGATTGTCCTCTTAATTCTTAAGTTCTCCTCCTCCTAACTGACATGCCACAAAAAAGTGTGTATAGTCAAGGCTATGGTTTTCCAGTTGCAATGTATGGCTGTGAAAGCTGGACCATAAGGAAGGCTGAGCGCTGAAGAATTGAGGTCTTTGAATTGTGGTGCTGGAGGAGACTCCTGAGAGTCCCTTGGACTGCAAAGAGTTCAGATCAGTCGATCCTAAAGGAAACCAACCCTGACTCCTCTTTGGAAGGCCAGATCCTGAAGGTGAAACTCAAATACTTTGGCCACCTAATGAGACGGAAGGACTCCCTGGAGAAGACCCTGATGCTGGGAACAATAGATGGCAAAAGGAGAAGGGGACGGCAGAGGATGAGGTGGCTGGATGGAGTCACTGAGGCAGTTGGCGTGAGCTTAGGTGGACTCCGGGGGATGGTGGAGGACAGGAGGGCCTGAAGGAATGTTGTCCATGGGGTCGCGATGGGTCGGACATGACTTCGCGACTGACAACAACAACAACAAATAGCCATCCATCTTGACTGGGGTTGAAAAGCCTGGTTTCGTACACTGGAGCTCACTCCCCCTCTTCGCCTTGCTCTGAAGGCACACGACTTCTCCTTTGGTCTCACCAGTTCGCCTGGTGGAAATGGAAGGTTTCATGATCCTCTCAGCTATGGAGGATCACCATGGCTCACCTTTTTACATTCGACCCTTTTCTCCTGGCAGCATTTTGTCAGCATGCCCTTGATGCTTCCTTGAAACCCTAAATATGCCCACCAACCCCAATAGCTTGGGGACCTGAGCCACAAGGCAGCATGAGACCATCTTAAAAATGCCAGCCACTGTGAACACAAATAACTTTTACATGGAGCAGTTGCTCTGCTCTTATTTTCCTATCCAGGCTCTCATTTCAGTCTCATTTCAGCTGATTTTTCATTTTGAAAGATGCCTGGTTATAGAATTACCTGGAAGAAGACAGGGACTCTCAAACAAGCACAGAACCCTCTCATAACTGGCAATTCAAATGAGTCTATTACATATTTGGGTCTCTTAAAATATATAGTATTATTTGAGAGACTGAGAGAGAGAGCAACTAAACTCTAGATCTTTATATGGTGGGGGTTACTTTTAACCATGGATTTGTCTGTATGTTGCAGGGGGAGGTGAATACCCTCAAAATGCACTTAAAGGTGCAATCCTCGGCATGTCTGGGGCTGGGGGATCCTATAACTCCCAGCATCACCTTGTTGGCTAATGATCAACAGGCATCCATTCCGATACCTAAATATACAGAATCACATACCTCCAAGTATCGCATACCAACTAAAAGAACAGGTAGCTTCGCCTCCCTACTCTACTTCTTCCCAGAGGGTTTTAGCTTAGCAACCCTTTTTGAAGAGGAAATTCCAGAAGTGGAGAGAGGAAGAAGAAACATCTGTCAGTCAAGCAGCATGTGGAACGGTCTGACGGCGAGCCAAATGGGCCTGGAATGTGTAGGGTGTCAAGAAATATTGCACTGAAAATTTTAGACTTTCTTCAAGTTCATTTGGAAAGAGAACTTTGGCCTAACAAGACCCTTCGTCCAGCTCAGCTTACTCCAGCCGGTGCCCTTCAGAGGTGTAGGGCTACCTCTTCCATGCTGGTTGTGGGTGATGGGACTTGTAGTCCCCACCTCTGGCGGGAACCAGGCTGGGGAAGAGAGATCTGTCTAGCGGGGCAGTTCCAAAGCTCTCCTATTTACTGGCATCACAACAAGAAATCCTTCTGATTCAGGATGGAAATGCCATCATCATCTCTTTGCCCCCAGCTTCATGTTTGGAAAGGCAAGTGGGGTGCGGGTTGGGGACGCAGATAGGAAACGCTCAGGAAGAAACAGTGTAAAGGGATTGGTGTGAATAATACAAGTAGGTTATATACAAAAGACCTCCTATCTGATTTTTCAAAGTAGCACCTTCAGAAAAGGGTAATTATAGTATCATTAAGTCACTCAGTGGCAACAATGACTCAGTGTTGAAGTTTCAGATGCTTTTAAAGGCTATTTAGAGAACTTGCTGATTTTATGAGAAGGATTAGCATGACAATCAGTCCTTTGCTGCAGTGAACTTCTCCCGTAACTAGGACCTCTTGCCTTCCAGCTGGCTTCAAGGACTGGGGGAATGATCAGACAGGGGACTTGCTGCCCCCCAACCCCTGAGATAGAATCAGGCCTGCCCCAGTGCTCCATGGGTTCAAACACCCTTCCCCTGTGTGTCCCCATACTTGCTGGGGATGATGGCCGTGCTACATTTGGATGGTATCAGCTTGTGGAAGGCTGATGGCCTTCCAGTATCATGGGAAGGGGATTGTCTGGGCTGATGTTCATATTTCCAAAATATTCAGCAGGATATTGCTGCAGTCTTGAAATTGTTTGAAATTTATTTAGGTTTCGTAGTACACTGTTAGGCACTTCAGGGGTCCTCTTTGAATTAAAAGGTGACTTATGAATTTATAAATCCAATGCATGCAAACAATGATTTCTTTCAACATGTAATCTCTACCTGCAGTCGACAGTAATGCAGTCTGGGATCAGCGTTGTCATATGATCTTTATAATCTCTTGCTCATGGTCAAAAAACCAGGAAATACAGTATAGAGAAAGAGGAGAGGGATTGGCAAGAAGGTTGCATATACTAATTTATCCACCTGGGTTCAAATTTGGAGGTCATTACTATAAATTAGTTAGGAATGTGTGAATCAGCACAGCATGAGGCTGTTGAAATTCTTTGAATTCCATCTCAGACTCAAGCCTGTATCAGATTGCAAGCTTTGTTTATTCTCCTTTTTGCACAAAACAGGTAAAGGTCTCCCCTGAACCTACATTCTAGTTGTCTCCAAATCTAGGGGCAATACTCATCCCCATTTCTAAGCTGAAGAGCCAGCGTTGTCCGAAGATGTTTCCATGGTCATGTAGCCAGCATGACTAAATGCTGAGATGCACAGAACACTGTTACCTTCTCACTGAAGTAGGATCTATTTATCTACTTGCATTTGCATGCTTTCGGACTGCTAGATTGGCAGAAGCTGGGGCAAGTAACGGGGGTCATTCCATTATGCAGTACTAGAGATTTGTCCTGCAGAACTGCCAGTCAGCAAGCTCAGCATCTTAATCACTGACGCTCACATAATTTCCAACATGGCCTTCCAAATGAATAAATCTTTGCGTGCATCTTTCAGATGCATGCATTCTTCTCCCATTCATTACAGCATATTCGTACAGATATCTTAAAAATGTGAAAAGCATTTTTAAATTTGTGCTTTTGAGCACATTACAAAAATCTGTGAATTTCATGGCAGACGCAGTAACATGCGGCAACTTCAAGGATTCTGTCTGATCTCTCCTCAGATGGAGGAACCCTTCAGATAGAAGACTATCCACTGAAAAGTAGGACTTATAGCCAATCTAGCACTTTTGCCTTGCTAGCAGAGTGATTCCGTGACCTGCAGACCTCATCTAGATAACCATAGGATGCTTTGGTTCCCAGGCCTGAGGCTGGAATTAGAGTTCCAAGCTTGGACCGGGGAATCTTTGCTCAGAACCCTTCATCTCCCAACCAAAGAGAACAACACTGGATTCTTTTCAAGATGGGAAAAGTGACCTTGGAAAGAGGCATTCTGGGAGTCAGGAAAGAGTGGAGATGGGGCTGCGAGGCTAGGGTATGCCCTGATAGCCCTCCATTCCGATTCCTTCCCCTTGTGATACATTGCAAAGAGGTGGCTAAAAATGGTTTCCTGGCTGCTTGGCAGAGTAGCACCCCCAGTAACCAAAGGGTGAGGGAAGGTCATGGGGCTCAGTGCTGGGCCACTCAAAGCTGGAAATATAAAATTGACTTTGAGTTCCCATTGAAAGAAAAATCTACACGGGGCTTTTGGGGGTGTAGGTGGGAGATTTTTGCTATTGTGCCATCAAGTCGTCTCCAACTTATGATGATGCTACCAATGAAGCCCTCCAAAGTGCCTTGTTCTTCACTGCCCTGCTCAGCTCTTGCAAATTCAAAGCTGTGGCTTCCTTTATGGAGTCAATGCTTTTGCTAAGTGGTGTTTCGACCTCCCAGAAATTTGGTGAGCTAGTGTATGGTTCCCGCACTGTTTTCAGGGTCATGACATGCTCACCAATTCCCTGCATTCTCCAGGCTCTGCATGAGCATTTGCTTAAATCAGAGTGGGTGACTGCTGAACTCTCTCTCTCTAGTTTGCCTTAGCACAGGAGGGTCAGTTGATCTAAGACTCTATTATGACTTAGGCATGTGCCAGAGCATGTGCTCAAGGTACATGGTAGTGGCAACCTGCTGGAGCCAAGCGGGCATCATTCTGATCTGCCAACAAGTTCTACCACAGGGATTAAATGTAATGCATATAAATATAATAAAAATGTGAGTTGAATAAACAAGGAACCTGTTGGCATTGCCAAGAACAGCATCACCGTGCCTCTCCCTGCCCCATAACATACCGTTCGTAATGCAAATAGTGGCAAAAAATTGACATCTAGATTCACTCCTGTTTTGGTTTTAATTCAGGGGGCCTTGCAATGAATAACTGCAAAAGTATGGGTACATTTGCTGCCTCCTAAATCTCTTATATTTTAAAACATCATCCTGGGATGTGGCCTCAGCCCATTTCCAGTCCTCTGAAAGAAATCTGGTGGACACTTAACCAGTCTATTAAAGGCTGTTCCCATTATCACGTCAGTCTATCAATGTAGGTAACTTTTTAAAATGTGATTTCCATAGCAATTTTAATCCCATAAGAACATGGCTTTTACAATTCCTTAAATGAAGATCTGTATGGGTCTCCTTGAATGTAGCCACAGCTTGCTCTAATTCTCTGTGACAGTCTGCGTTTTACAGAACAAGGAGTACTGCAAAAATAACAGGGTTCTTTCTGAGTCTGTTAGCACCTTCCACAGAATGCTACCCTTCTGGCTTTAAGAGAGAAGGAAAGAATAATCTTGTTCAATGTTCTCCATCAACGTTCAGAAGAACTGGGAAATTCTACTCCAAGCAGAGACTTTGATGAGTCAAATTGTGTCAAAATTTAGGCACTTCTACTTGGATGTCACTCCCATTGGCATCAATGGGCATTAACTCCAGGTCTGGGTCTGTAAGATTGCAGTATAAAATGCCCTTGGTGTCAGTTAGACTCAAAGTGGAGGGGTAAGGAATGAAATGAGCATATTCAAGATATTAAAGGATTAGATAAGTCCAACACACTGAGGCTTCTCAGCAAATGACTATTTATTGTAGATCACAGAAGCGAAGATTAAGCTGCTCTGAACCATTGATTATTTGAATTTTTTATTCCTTTCTTCAGGTGATTTTAAATTGAAGGGAAAAGTGATACTTGTTATACTCTTGTAGCATAAACAGTACTCCTCAATGCAATTTTATATTTGCATTAGATTGGAGTCCTTGCCAAACCATCTCATTTTTAAAAAACATTAATCTGAGTGTACCTGATCCCAACATCCAATTTGTCGAGAGCTTTTAATATATGCAACAAGAGTTAACATGTTTAAAAGATCAAGATTTCTATTAACTGTCCTTCTGTAACTCAGAAGCAATGAGACCCCCAAATCTATTGGATATGGAGGAATGCCACTGAAGTTAGCCACAATGCAAAGAGTCAAGCCCTGTGAAAGAGCTTCCAGCCAGGGAATATAGCCAGCCTTGCTTTGAGGAATGATCACAGGAATCTGAACAGAATGGAAGATATTTACACTGAGAAAACCTCAATGCAAATTACTGCATGGCACTTTATGCATGTTTTGGATTAGAATTAAGAGCAATCTATACCTGTTGGGCTTGGCTGCTTCTTCCTCCAGGGGTGCATCATTATTTCCCAAGAAGCCAGTACTTCTTGACACTATGGGTAAGGACCACTCTTGTTCGTTGGGAGTCCCAGCAGATAAATCATCCGCCAAATAGAGAAGTCTTTAAATAACAACAAAAAGCAAAATAGCTTTTTCATTAATACGTCTCCTCTCACACCCACTCCCCACACCCAGGTCTCTTGCAACCATATAGCAAAAGATGACCTGAACATCAATGCAATTTAAATCATTTGACTCCTTCTTGAAAAAGTATGATAAGCCTGTTGGTTACTGACCTCTCGGCAGGTGTTGCTTCACGAGAATTTAATGTAATACACAGGATGATGAAAAGAAAGGGTCCCTTGAGGCTGCACATCTCTTCCCGAGGTGCTTCTGAAAATAATCACAACACGAAAAAGCCCTTCAGCCAAACACATGCAGTCTTCCTTACACACTGAACAGCATCTGGAGCAATACCTGGAGCGACAAGGCACTATGAATATTCAGTGAGAACACAACTAATATCCAGAGAGAACAGAGAGGGGCAAAAGAAGTGTCCAAGTTGCATGAAGCCGTGATAGATGCCCCCTTTCTAATCCGATCAAAGATAAATAAATGCAAATGAATAAATGCAGCATATAATAGAGGTTCATGCATTAGAAACAGTATTCCTTGTTCTTCTAAAAGTTTTATATTTAAAAATATAAAATGAAAAAAGCAACTGTTTTTAATCAAGCTGATCAATCAGCTTCCTGTTGTTAGAGTTTTCTCTAACCATTTTTCTCTACTGATACGTGTGTGTGTGGGTAAAATCAACCATTGCATAGTTACCTGCTGGTGGATGATGAATTAACTGAAGAAATCAAGCAAGCGTCTGTATTAAAATGAAGACACTCTCACACTCGCTTCCGTGTCTGGAGTATCTGTCACTTCCACCTTCCTTGCCAGCATATAATAGAGCTCTTATATACCCCTCATTTCTTTCTGAGCTCTGACATCAGGCAGCAAAGAATGAGAGAGAGAGATTCTGTCATTGACTTCTGTCCCTATAGATAGAAAGTCTCCCAGTAAAGGATGCTAGGTCACTGCTACAGTTGAACTCTGGCGAATGTTCATCAAGCCCATTGAGGAAGTTCTCCTAAAATTTGGTACTGCAACACCAGAACGGATGCTTGCATTGCAAGGAGAGTTCCCATAGCAGAGGTGAGGTTACTGTTCCCGTGGGCGTTAACTACAGCTAAATAAGGTAACAAAATGGATTTTTTAGAAATTATGAAAGAAACAAGTAGAACTGAAAGGCAAGATGCAGAGACGGTGAGGTACAAATTGGCAGATATCCTATAAGGATATCCTAAAAGAAAGGAGACAGACAGACAGCAAGGAAGGAAAGAAGGAAGGAAAGCCAGCATAATATGAAGATAAATGTGATCTACAGATACATATACAAACTTTACTTTATCTAATAGCAAACAGAGGTGCTGTGTACCAACAGCATTCTGGCCACTGAGAAGCAAGAGGGGCGGCCCGCCATGCTCCAGGGATCCTCAAGGTTTGCAAAAGTAGAATTTTTAAATTAGCTTTATATTCCACTTTTTTCTTACACTGAACTGGAAGCGGCTTACATCATTCTCCTGCTGCTGCTTTCAAGCTTATCCCCACAACAACAGCCCTGTGAAGAAAGTTGGACTGAGAGGCTGTGGCTGGCCCAGAGTCCCCTAGTTTGCTCCATGGCCGAGTGGGGACCCGAACCCAGGTCGCCTGCGCCTCAGTCTGGTGCTCTTATTTGGAACAACAGCCCTAAGTGGAGACATATCCCCAGAAACTATCCAAGGAGGATTCAACAAGTTTCAGGACCCCAAAAGGGAGGGGGCAGGACCCAGGTGTCCTGGGTCAATGTGATAATCATCATCTTATGAATGGGAAGAGAGAGAGAGAGAGAATTCTGAGTTTAGGCTATATAGCTCAACTGTTCTGCCCATCTTTTGTATGTGATATCATTTAGATTACTTTAGATTATTTAAATTTATCTTGGGATGAGACTCCTAAAGCATTTTAAAAAACTACAGTTCAGTTCATTCATTCTTTCTTTCATTCGTCCATTTCTATACCACTCAATAGCCAACAATGAAGGGCAAATGCTTTTTGGCTGTACCACAAATAACCACAAGCAGCTCTTTAAAGCATCTCCAAACATTCCAGAAAGAACATTCCACCTGCTGCCCCTTTTGAATGCATCCTTCTCCAAGCAGCAGTGGACAGGGAAATACATCACAGGAAGTTGTCTGGGAGAACCTCATGTGGAGTCTTGGCATTGACTCTGTAGGGATCTGCATGTGTTATTTAAATCACGATCATGAAGGTCATGGGGTGGTGGTAGCTGAGGTTTCTGCTGTGCTCAGTTTTGCTCTTGAAAGTCATCTCCCTAAAACTGCCAATTCAGTCAAGGGGAAGACAGCTCCAGGTTTCTTGTTCAGGCTACCGTCTGGGAAATGAAAGCCATGGGTTAAAATGCCACCAATTCCCATGGACCTGATCCCATTTGAGTCCTTTATGGCCCCTTCCCCTTCCTCTTCAAGGGATCTCCAATCCGTTGCTGCATGAATGGGATTCGTATGAAGATTTTATTGAGAAGCAAGGGCTGGGAGAACTTTGCTCATATTATTATTACAAACTCACCAGATTCACACTTCTCCTATCACTGTGCAAACTTAAATAGTTGCCCTTTGGTCTTTGCACTTCCCCTGACTTCTTGCAAAGCTGCAGGAACAAGCCTGTGTGTATTAGGGGGAAATGAACACAAACATATCTGTATTAGTGGAAGAAACATACCCTCCCAAATAAAAGAAAAAGATTACATGAAGGGAAACCAGCTGGAAAAATGTATATATGTAGGTAAAAGTATGACCTTTGTATGTAAATGCATTTTGTATGGAGAAGTACATATACACATGCAATTATTAGGAGAATATATACAAAACTCATTATGAACTTCCATAAAAAATCACATACTGATATGGGAACAAGACGGAACAAACTGAAGACTGGAGCAATGAGGAATGACAGTTGTAGCTACCTTCTCGGTAAAAATTGTGGAAGTGTCACTTTTTGTCTTTGCTTTTTTCAATTAAAAAAATAAAGATTACCAGGAAACTTAGGGGAAGCCATGCCATTTAAACTAGCATAAAATGAGTGAAGGTTTTCCCCTGGTGTCCAAATGCCACATGCAACTTCTCAGTCTCCCCTTTTTTTGAATGACTGAGGGCAAAGGAGTTCTTTCCCTTACTCAAAAGTGGTTTTTTTTAAGGAAAAGCATCCTTGGAGTGTTGTTCCTTAAGAAGCAGCCCTTTAATCCTTTCCCGAAGCACCTCTACCTGGTTTTCCACTGCAGAGAAGATCTCTCAGTAACCCTGGTGGATTAAAACAACAACAACAACAGCTGGTGAGGAGTAAATTTAATCTGAAACCAGGAAACAAGGGTGAAGCATCTTTCCCTTAGCTACTAGCCCTTCTCTTCTGGTGGAAGCCTCCTGCTTCTTCTTCTTTTTAAAATGTTTGTGAAAATTTATACACAATGTGTAACAGGCTCCTAAATCCTATCCAAGTTTTCATTGACATACATAACTTTCAATCATTAGGAGAATGTTCCCCAGCCACACACACACACACACACACACACACACACACACACACACACACACAGAGAGAGAGAGAGAGAGAGAGAGAGAGAGAGAGAGAGAGAGAGAGAGAGAGAGAATTCTGAAAACTGGGAAGCGAATGATGAAGAAAAAGGGAGAACCAAAGGGGTGACAACTTGTTTTCATATGTTGTTAGAAGATTTCAGATGATGTTTGCTTGACAGTTCTGCTATTAATAGTTGCATTTTCTCTGTGGTATACGGTGGGGAGGTGGCAGAAAGCAGAGCCGAACTGGGAATCAAGAGATGTTCATAACAAATTTCCACCAGTGGCAAAGGCAAGCAAAGAAATAAGTAAATATGCAGTCACTCACATGTGTGGATTTACAGTGCTCTTAATGACTGTTATATTTTTGTGCTCCTTATTTCCCAAAGTAGAAGGAAGAAGTTGCAGTTATGCAGGGAGAGGAATCTTTTGCAGTCCGTGTTTGGGAAGACAGAGCTCAGAGTGCGTGGGAAAGAATGACTTTTTCGTGATGGCAGAAGCACCTTCCATGAGATCGGATTCATCATGTAGTGGGACCTATCCGCCTGCAAATATTCTTGTCTCTCATCTTCTCAACCACTGCATTTGCAAATTTACAGTTCATTCCAAAAACATAAAGAACTCCAAATCTCCTGTACATTCTAGCAGTACTACCTGATTCTACAATGTATAGCAAAAAGAAGCACACGTTCCTAGTTCATTCTGTTAGGGCGAGCTTGCTTGTTTACTTGCATGCTTTCCATCTGCCTGACCTATGCATTTGCAAAGAAACATTTCATTCCACAAAGCAGAACAACTTTTGGGTATGCTCTTGTACTTCCTATCTGTTTGCCACTTTTGCAAATCAACTGTTTAATACCGCACAGTGCAAGCTCATCATGCTAAGATCCAACCTGGGCCCCGTTAAATCCATAGATTCTTTCAAAGGAAAAAAAATCCACTTTTGTTTTAATTAGAATTTTACCAGATACTGTTGACAATTTCTTCCCACAGAGGGCCTGGGTGCCCCATCAAGAAGTGGGGCCTGGTGGATAGCAAAATGGAAATGTTATCAGATTATATAAAATGTTGATTGATGAGTCACAGTTAATGGCATTTTCAGAAGAAGACGAGGACTCAGGAGATGAACTGATGCCTTTGAACTGTCAGTCAAACTTACACACATTTGTTCATGATTTTTTAAAAATGTACACACAGTGTATCTTGGAACAAAAGTTCCAATGGAACATGGAAGAGATACAAACCATGTTGCCTAAAATTGCATATTTGAGTACAAATTGTTTTTGTTTTAAATGTCAGCTCCTTGAGAAATCTGCTTGGATGACCAGAATGTTTGATGTTTCCCAGCATTCAAAAATAGCACTTCTTCGTAATGTCACAACAAATTTCATTTACTTCTACACTAGAAGACATTCACCTGTTTGTTCTGGGAAAAAAACCCACAAAACAGCAAGGGAAAAACTGCAGTCTGTGGGCTTCTTTCAAAAGAGGTAGATGCTTGTGATGACCTTTGTTTTTAGAAGAATATACAAAACACATTACAGAGAGGGCTGGGCTGAAAATGCAGGAGGAAAACCCACTACTGTGGTATACTTGGTCTGGAGATGGAAAGTATTCTAAGATGGAGAGGTAATGAGCTGGCTCCCAGTTTGAGGGGCCACTTTGAAAAGCAGCCTTCATTACTGAGAAGTATCAC